ATATTGAAAAAGGGGGGGGGGGTGCTGGGAATCAAAACCAGGACAGCTTGGAGGCTAAGCAAGTTCTCTTTCTCAGACCTTCAACCCTAGTCCTACCTTTGTTCTTTGAGCCACATTATCAAGAAAGTGAAGAAAAAAAAAAAGTGCACAGTATGGGAGAAAATATTTGCAATCAAATATCTGACAAGGGTCTAATACCCAGGATATACAAAGAACTCTTAAAAACAACAAAAAGGCAAACGAATTTTAAAATAAGCAAGATACCTGAATACCTGAATAGACATTTCTTCAAAGTTGATACACAAATGCCCAGCAAGCATGCAAAAAGATGCTCAACTTCATTGTTCATTAGAGGAATGCAAATCAAATCAAAATCACAATTGAGTTGGGTAAAGTGGTACTCTTCTGTCATCCCAGCAACCTGGTAGGCTGAGGCAAGAGGATCAAAAATTCAAGGCTAGTCTGGGCAACTTAGTGAGACCCCTTTCAAAAATAAAAATATAGGGTTGGGTTGTGGCTCAGCAGTAGTGCGCTTGCCTAGCATGCGTGAGGCACTCACTGGGTTCGATTCTCAGCACCACATACAAATAAGTGAAAAAATAAAAGTCCATCAACAATTAAAATAATAATAATAAAAATAAAAATATAAAAGGACAGGAGTGTAGCTCCGTGGTAGAAGTTCCCTAAGTTAAATCCTTAGCACCTGGAACAAACACACACAATGAGATACCACTTCACACCCATTAGGACAGCCCAAAGCACCAAACAAAAAGTGTTGTAAGAAATTGGAAACCTAAAATATTGCTAGTGGAATGTAAAATGGCACAGACACTTTGGAAAATAATCTGGCAGCTCCTCATAGGTTTAATAGAGAGTTACTTTAAGACCTAGCAACTCCACTTCTGGGTAAGTGCCCAAGAGACTTGAAAACAGAGGTCCAACAAAAATTTGTACCTGGGTTACATTATTCATAATAGCCAAAAAGTGTTAGCAACTCAGATGTTCATAGCTGCTGAGCAGATAAGTAAAATGTGATATATCTGTACCATGGAATATTATCCATCCATAAGAAGAAATGAAATACTGATATATGCTATAACTTGGATGAACCTAAACAACACTAAGAGGGAGAAGCTCGACACTAAAGGCTACATATTATATGATTCCATTTATATGAAATGTTCAAAATAGGCAAATCCATACATTTGGCAAATTAGATCAGAGTGATGGTTGCACACTTGTGAATATACCCCAAACCAATAAAATGTAGTGTTAGAGGGCCAGTTTTACAGTATGTGAATTATATCGCAATTAAAAATATAAAAATTTCGAACAAGGTTTAAAAAAACCTATACATTGGGAATTAACATTTCATTTTTAAACAACCACACTGAATGACCTATATTGGTTAAAGACACTCAATCCCCAGAGGCCCCACCACCTGTGAGCGCTGGAAAACCACCATGGCTTCAGGAATGTGGCTCACACTCCGGAGCTGTTTTTGTCACCAGTGGAAAGAATGTCTCCATCACCCCCTCCCCACCACACACATTGCTGGCTGAAAGGGAGAAAGTAATATTAGCCCTAAAAATGCCACTCCTCCCCCCAGGGGACGGGACGTTCCAACCATCTGGCAAGAGCAGGGGTAACCCTAGGCGGAGCGGGGCGGCGGGGGTCCGGGGGGTGGGGCCCACGGGGGAGAGGTGTAGGGGTGCAGGGGCGTGGCCTACGATTGGGCAAGGTGAGGAGTGGGCTGTGGGCGTGGCCTGGGGCGGGGCGAGAGGTGTGGGGGGGGCGGGGCGCCGGGGCAGGCCGTGGGGCGTGGGCGAGGCGGTGGGCGGGGCATCGGGGCGGGGCAATGCACGGGGCGGGGCCACAGGTGGAGCTGCGGAGGCGCGGGGGCGTGGTCGGGGCGGGACGCGGGACTGCGGACCGATGGGCCGGGCCGGGCGAGGCTGGCGCCCGGACGCGAGCCGCTGGCATTTTGGTGTCTAGACGGCGGCGGCCGCCGCCCGCGCTGCCCAGCCTGGACCTCGCGGCGTCCCTGCTCCCGCGGCCCCCTGGCCGCCTGCCCCGAGCCCTAGCCCGCCATGCCGCTGCCCGCACCGCCCACCGAACTCCTGCCGTCGGAGCGCGCCGTGGTGCTGCTGTCGTGCGCGCTGTCAGCGCTGGGCTCCGGCCTGTTGGTGGCCACGCACGCCCTCTGGCCCGACCTGCGCAGCCGGGCGCGGCGTCTGCTGCTCTTTCTGTCGCTGGCCGACTTGCTCTCGGCCGCCTCCTACTTCTACGGGGTGCTGCAGGACTTCTCGGGCCCCTCATGGGACTGCGTGCTACAAGGAGCGGTCTCCTCCTTCGCCAACACTAGCTCCTTCTTCTGGACGGTGGCCATCGCCCTCTACCTATACCTCAGCATCGTCCACGCCGCGCGGGGGCCGCGGACCGACCGCCTACTCTGGGCCTTCCACGCTGTCAGGTGCGTGTGGCATTGCTGCTTGGGGGGGGGGCACTCAGTCCCACCTTCTGCCGGGTCCTGCCTGCTTTCCTTCGCGCCCCCTCCCGCAGGCCGCGTCTTGGTCAGGCGCCCAGTAGGCAGTTGTGCCCCTCAGCATCCCTGGGCCCACAGGAGGGTGCCCAGGTTGCAGGAGCTGTAGATCAAGCCTGTGCATCCCTGCAGAGGGCGTCCCTTGTGCCTGCCCCAGCTGGAGCCTCTTAGCAAGATGGGGAACAGATCTCACCCTCAGGGCCCAGCTCTGAGCACTTAATAGGCACTGGGGCAACACTTTGTGCGCTTTGACTCCTGCTTCACTGTGTTCTGGCCATTCTTGCTGCCCATGGGGAAACGCTCCCCATCCCCAGGATGTGGCTGTGGTGCTGGGAGCCAGGCAACTGCCACCTCCATGCTATAGTGGGTGTGGTGCATTCAGCCTCTCCCAGGCCACAGTGTCCCAGCCGTAAAACTTGCAGAGGGACCTACCATCTTTTCATCTTTTTAGTTTTGTCTTTGGTCATTTCTGAACTTCAGGGCCCAGCCGCCATTCTGGGTGATCTTGACTTTCCAGAATTCAGGAGCTCTAAGACAGGTCAATAACAACCCGTTGAGTGTAAGAAAGCTGACAGCTGACAGCAGTCTCCGAGAACAAGGAAACCCAAGGCCTTGCCCTGTGATGCCCTAGCCTTCAAGCATCTCAGCAAGAAAGCCCTACCCAAATAAGGTCCGTCCTTCCTGGTGTAGTTTCAGGGTTCGAATTTCTCGTGGTGTCCTGTGCTGAAGCAAAGGCAGGAATCCTAGGGCTGGTTTACTCTTCTCCTTCCCCCAGATCAGAGCACCAAAGACTGTCCTAATTATAGATCCTTTCTATTAAAAACTTGAGTGTTTTCCAAGGACTAAGAGGATAGTCAGCACTTTGGTAGAGACAGGTCACCTGGGTGTCACACGCTGAGGCAGCCAGCTGGGAAGAGTCACTTGACCTCTAGCTCTAGTAGCTGCTGGATGAAGGCCAGTTGGTCCCTGAGAAACTAAGGGTCCTGCTTCTCAGCTGTTCAAATCAAAACCTTCACACTGTGTCACTCAAAAAGTGGCTCAGATGCAGGGACCCAGAGAGGGGGGCAACCATTTCTCCTACCCCTTGCAGTGTGTCACCTGAGGCTGACTGTCAGATACCAGCCATCCTTGGTGGCAGCTTGGGTTGAGGTGGGCAGTGTGAACACTGTAGTTCCCAGGTAGTAAAGAAGTATCTAAGACTGGACCTTTCTTTGCAAGAATCTCTTCTCTTCCCAGCTTTTTTTTTTTTTTTTTTTTTCAAAATATTTAATACGTTACTTTTTTTAAAGTGATAATCAGGCTAGGTGTGCTGGTGCATGCTTGTAATCTCAGCTGTTCAGAGGATTATAAGTTCAAGGCCAGTCTGGGCAACTTAGCAAGAGCCTGTCTCAACATAAAATAAGAAAGCTCAGGGGCGGGGTGGGGGGAACTCAATGGTAAGGTGCCCCTGGGTTCAATTCCCAGTTCCAATAAATTAATAAGTAAGGTGATACCCAGAACCTGGTGCAGCTCCTATAGAAGATGGATTTCCTAACAGATCTGAGGTGGGAGTTCTTTCCGTACATTTCTCATCAGGGACCCTATGGCAGGGTTTTTTGTGATGCTAGGGAAGCCTTCCTTCTAGGGAAAGCTGTGTTTGAGGGAATTGTTATAACCTGTCCAACAGGTTATTTATTGACCCAGATCCTCCCAGACTTATTGAGCTTGCTCAGGACTATCCCATATTTTTCTTTGGAGAATTAATTTCTTGTTGCTGAAGGACCTAGTGATGTGATAAAGCTTATCTTTAGGCACAGATTACCTGATCATCCACTTTTGACCATTTCAATATACTAAAAACCAAATGGTTCAGTCTTGGAAACTGTTTTAAAATATGACAATATGGTAAGACAATATACAAGGTTCAGCTATTTGGTTATAAGTATATATATATATATATATATATATATATATATTTTTTTTTTTTTTTTTTTTGGTTGTTGTTGTTGTTTTATTTGTGCTAGTGGGGCTTGGATCCAGGGTGCTCTACCACTGAGCTATATCCCCAGCCCTTTTTTATTTTTTATTTTGAGACAGAGTCTCCCTAAGTTGCCCAGGCTGTCCTTGAACTTGCAATCCTCCTGCCTCAGCCTCCCAAGTCACTGGGATTTATAGGTGTATGTCACCATATCCAGCTAAGAATTGATTTTTTTTAAAACCCACCAATGTCCTGAAAAAGGAACAAAGGATACATTCAGGCAAAATAGTAAAAGCATCTGATAAATGTATATGGAAAACAAATTTAATCCCATTAATAGCCAAAACAACAATGAGGTACCATTCATCAATTAAATTAGATGAAAAAATAATAAGGTAGAATGACAAATGACAGTGAAACTGGTATTTTCCTACATTAGTACTGGCATTATAAATTGAAGTAATCCTTGTAGAAAGTATTTGGTTCATACCCCTGATCCAGTAATCCTATTTCCAGGACCTAGTCTGAGAAGACCATCCAAAATACATACTAAGCTGAAGGTTCAAGGGAGCTTGTGAGGTGGTGTTGTCATAGTGAGAATTTAGAAGCAACCTCAGTGCCCAATAATAGGGGAACAATAAGTGATAGACTATCCTCCCCTTTTGAAATGCCATGTCACTGATGAGTACTGGTTGCAAACTCTCCAGGTTGTATTTTTTAAATGGATGATAAAAAGAGAAGTGAAAAAAAAAAGCCATCTCTAAAGCTGATTATAGCCGTGGAAACACAGAGGGTCACAGAGAATCCTGCACACTCACAAGCTCCCAGGAAAGCACCTGTGTGGCCCTTGGTGAGCCATAATGACACCTAACATGGTTCCATTTACAGGCTTTTTTTCTCCTCCTTAGAAAAGGAGAATAGCTTAGACTTCATCCTCAGGGAAAGAGTCTTTCATCATGAACTGCATGTGGTTCCTGATGCTTGGTAAAGTGCTGTCCCATTCATTAGCTCATAGAGCACAGGTAACCCAGCCAGATGGACAGGGTGAGCACCCTCCATTCATAGCAGACAAGATGGCCCAAGACCACGCACTTGGGAGGCTTAGGAGTAGAACCTGGTTATGACCCACTCCATGGTCCATGCTCTTGTGATTGTGTCTTGATCTCTAGTTTTTGAAAACTGAAATAGAATTTCAACCATAGGGCTGGGGGTGTAGCCCAGCAGTAGAGCACTTGCTTGCCTAGTATACATGTGGTCCTGGGTTCCATCCCCAGCCCACGCACGCAGGTGTGCACACAAATAATAATTTCAACAATTATTTATTCTTTTTTCCCACATATTAATATTTTATCATGTTAGCTTTTTCCTCTCCAGTTACTTTTTCCAGAACCACTTAAGAGTCACAGACATGATACCCCCTCAATCCAGAATACCTCAGTGTGTACTGCCAGAAGGCAGCAGTCTCTTACAGAAACGTGCACTTACCCAAACCACGAATTTGCCAGGTGCGGTGGCTCACACCTATAATTCCAGCAACCTGGGAGGCTGAGGCAGGGGGATTGCAAGTTCAAAGCCAGCTTCAGCAATTTAGTAAGACCCTGTCTCAAAATAAAAAATATAAAGGGCTAGGAATGTGACTCAGTGGTTAAGCATCCCTGGGTTCCATCGCTGATACAAAAAAAAAAAAAAAAAAGGCAGGAAATTAGCAGGAGGAACACTGTTACCTGATTGGTGGGCTTTATCGAGATATTTGTCCATTGCCTAACAGCATCCCTCAGAGCAAAAGAAAATCCCTCGGACCTTGACTTTCCATGGCTCTTTACTCCCCTTCAGTTCTTCCATCTGTTATAACACTGACATTTTGAAGAGTGCAGGAAGATACCAGTTTCACCAGCATTTTTCCTAAATGTTCTGCCGAACTTCATAGAATGTTCCTGGGTTTGTCTGAAGCTTCCTCCTGATTGCTTTCAGGTCTGCACTTGGGTCCCAGAAGCCCATCCCCCCACCCCGGGGTGACTCTGGATGTTCCCTTAGTGGTGATGTGGCTCTGATGGCTCGGCCCAGGTGGTATCTGCAGCCTCCCCGGCTGCAGAGTTACTGCTTTCCTTTCGTAATTACGGTTTTGCTTTGGTGAGTGTGTGTCACCTGAGGGAGGGGCTGGGGCTGCAGAGAAGGGAACATTTGCCTTCCTTCTGTAAGACCAGTGAGGTAAACCTTCAACTGTCCCCGCCTGCAGCCCTCTGCAGCTCCTACTTCCCCAAGGTCGAGGCTCCTTTAGTGACGCAAAGTGGGGTCAGGTCAGTGGAGCCAGGTGACAGCCCTCGTCCTGTCTGCTTGGGGGTGGCTGGGTTGGGGGGTTCATCTTGCAGGATCAGGTGCAGTCTGGGCCGGGCCAGGGCATCTCCAGCAGTCTCTGAGTTTCTTCAGGCTCTGCTGAGGTGAGAGGGGCGAGCAGGACCGGCCAGTGCTCCGCACCCACCCTCTGGAGCTTTCTTGGAGTCACTGCAGGAGAAGGAGTCTGGCACCCCAAACCAACCCTAAAAACCCTGCTCTGCAGGGGAGTGGGAAGTCCCAACACGGCAAAAAGGGGAAACAGGGCCCTGAGAGGGAGGCCCTGAGTTCTGTAATTGGAAAGGAGCTCGCGGTGCAGCAGAAGTGGCGGCCTTGGGCAGAGCTGAGTCTCAGGTCGTCCCTGCTGTTATCTGCACGGCTGTCCCCTCCACAACTCATGTTGACATTTCATCGCCTCGGTAGCAGAATTAAGAAGGGGACCTTTGAGAGCTGGTGTGCTGGGGCTCAGTGGGTTTGCAGAGTTGTGCTGCTACTGGAAGAGAGGGTAGTTTGGTCCCCACTCTTTCTCTATCTCCAGATGCCCCTCAACCTTCCTCCATGGGGTGACCCTTACCAGATGCTGGCACCCGGCTCTTGCACTCCCCGACATCTAGACCTTGAGCCAAAGAAGCTTCTGTTGTCT